GAATTTATCATCGGCACAAAAAAATTGAATGTTTAAGTAATTTTTTCTCACTATTTCATACAGTTCAATACTATCAACTTTTGTTTTGTTATTTAAATAATCGTAAGGTACAAATGATTTTAAAATTTATGTTGAATTGTATTTTAAGCTATCATCATTCTGCCGTAGCAATACCACAAAGAAGCTACTTGATATTTGGCGATAATCACTAAAGTGCAGATCTATAACTCTGAGAACACTGAACATGCTCGATTGTTAATATTTTCGTCTACAAAATATTCTTCTTTGAGTTGACAACAAAGTACATAAGCCGGTTATGCATCTGAAATAAAACAAAAAAAGAAGAGTAATTACGAAATTTGACCGTTTTTTATGCTATTTTATCACTGTTTTTTCTTTTCTTTTTTTTTATGTTGTAAGTATGTAGGACAAGTTAGGCTTAATCATAAGTTTTTTTCACCAGTAACTAGTTAGGTCTAGTTTCAAAGATATGTTTTTCAAAGTAAAAGTAAAAACACCTGGGTAGAGACTAGTAAATACAGCAGTCCTCCCAAGTTGTCCGGAGGAGAATCGAATTTATCACCGCTTGAAGTAGAAGCAAATTAAAGAAAGAAAAAAACGAAAACAAAAACTAATTAGGAAAATAAAACCGGATTTTCTATGTTACAACAATAACCATTTATTTGTTAGTCACTATTTACTTTTTTTTTGTTACCACCTTAAAATGACATTTTGTACAGCTGTTGATACGATCATTATTATGCGCTAACCAAACATGAAGACCGGAAGATGACTGCGGAAAGATACATTAGACATTCTAAATTCTTCTAGCTTGCTGCCTTTTTTTACAATTAAAAACTACCTTTTCTGCTATAAAAGTAAATTATTAACCTAAACAGGAAAACCAAATGAATAATTCTGGTAATACTGTAGATGAAAGAAAAACCTTTGTTATTTACAATTTGTGAATCAGCACTGATTTACAAAAGGTTTTTCCCTTTTTTAAACATTTCAAACAGATATTTGCAACTGCAAAAGCTCTAATCAAACATTATTGTATCAAGAAGGTCAATCAACAAATTATACTAATTCTTTGCCACTTCTTGTTTATAATATAATGGCAACAGCGAAAGAGAAAAGACTTTCTTTCGCTGTTACTTTTGTTGTTTTCATTAAAGACTTGAAAAACTTCCAATTAAACGAATACTCTCTGCCCTCCTTCTCTCA